CAGCGGTGATTCCCAGGGATCTATGGAAACCCCGAGCCAGGGGGAAGCTTGAATCACAAGATGTTTCAGCCCTTTTGAGGACTAGGTATTTGTGAACAAAGGCCGGCCTTGGAAATTGAATATGCTCTCGACTTACAATGCTGCCACTTAAGAGGTTGTTGGACTGGGGGTTACTCATTCAGGGCACTGTTGTCACTTCTGGGGTGAGAAAAGCCAAATTATTACACGCTGAAGTGGATGTGTGGGGCCTGAGGTTTATGCCACCCAGGAGCTCTCTTTAAAGAAAAGAACAACAAAAATTGTGGTACAGAATTGCTTGGGTCCCTCCAAGGAGTCTACCCAAAGGGCCTGCAGTGAGGGGTCCTAGTACCCCAGGCACAGAGGACCATGAGCTGCCCAGGGTGTCATGCCTGGGGAAGGCTGAGATGTGAAGCCCGGTCCCCGTTCCTGGCACAGAGGGCCTAAGACCTTTGGAATCTCTGCAGTGGGAAGAATGAATGTTTTTTGTGTACTAATGAGATGACTGGAGGCTGGGAGCCCCTGAACAGCTTCAGGATGAGGGCTGGTCCCGGAAAGACCAAAGCAGGATTAGGGGGTTGGAACTTTCAGCCCTACTCCCTGCAAACCTCCTCTGGGGAGAGGAGACAGGCTGGAGATTGAGCTAATCACCAGTGGTCAATGATTAATGAATCATGAATCATGCCCATGTCATGAAAACTCCCTGAACATTCCTGAACAATGGAGTCTGGAGAACGTCCAGGTTGGCAAACACGACCGTGTATTGACAGGGCGGCACACCCCCGACTCCATGGGGACAGAAACTCCTGGGCTCGGGACCCTTCCAGACCTAGCCCTGGCTGTTTGTCTGTGTCCATGGTAATAATCTGGTAATAGTAAATAAGTGTTTTCTTGATTTCTGTGAGCTGTTCTAGCCAATTATTGACCTGAGGGAGGTGGAGATTGTAAGAACCTCCTGACTTTGTAGCCAAGTTGGACAGAAATGTAGGTTCTCTGAGTACCTAAGACTTGTGACTGGCGTCTGCGGTGTAGGCGATCTTGTGGGACCGAGCTCTTGAACCTGTTCAGTCTGACATTAGTTAGTGTCAGAACTGAATTGAATCATAGGACACTCAGTTGGTCCTGGAGAACTGGCTGGTGTGGAAAAGATCCCACATTTGGTGTGAGAAGTGTTTGAGTAAAAACAGCTCAAGCCCATTCTTCATTTCTCAGCAGGGTGGCTTTTGTTTGCTTTGCTGCTCCAACATTTCATTACTCATCTGGGCCCCAGTGGGCCTTTATTAAGAAGATCAACCTTTTAACATAAAACTGGCTCCAGATCTGAGCCACTCATTTCCCCTGAAGCTCTCTGGGGTCCTGGTGGGCTCTCTGTTTGGACAGGTGATCCCAGCGAGTCTCCCAGCTTCAGAGGCTGAGAGGCTGTGATCCCCATCAAAGGCAGCACACACCAGTTTCCCCCAAGGAGCCCCTATCTGCCTTCGATTCCACCTACAGTAGGACAGAATTGGCAGTGGGCACAGCTGGCTGCCATGGCTTCCAGGGGCTGGAAGGAGGCAGTTTACCGCAGGGATTCTTTGTTTGTTTGTTTGTTTGAAACAGCATCTCACTCTGTCGCCCAGGCTGGAGTGCAGTGGCACGATCTCGGCTCACTGCAACCTCCACCTCCCGGGTTCAAATGATTCTCATGCCTCAGCCTCCCGCGTAGCTGGGATTACAGGCACACGCTACCACACCCGGCTAATTTTTTGTATTTTTAGTAGAGACGAGGTTTTGCCATGTTGGCCTGGCTGATCTCAAACTACCGGCCTCAAGTGATTCACCTGCCTTGGCCTCCCAAAGTGCTGGGATTACAGGCATGAGCCACCGTGCCCGGTTTACTACAGGGATTCTTATCCGAGGGCCTGTAGATCTCAAAATGGCATGTATAATTTTTATTTTTAAGGTCTGCTTTTCTGAGGAAATCAGTTGTCCAATTTTCAAATGGGTCCTTGACTGCCCTCAAAGGTTAAAAATGATTTCCAGGTGAAAAAATAAAGAAAAATACTGTTGCATTCTCTATTTTTTTTTTTTCTAAAAGCCAAATCAAGTATGGGAAATTCCAGTTATCCAGGGTGCCTCGACCAGGGAGCCTTCAGGCTGCTTGAACATGGAGGCACCACACACCGTCCACGTGTAATCACCCAGCGGGCTCTGCACGCCCACTGCCTAGACAGAGCCGATTGATCAAGACAGGGGAATTGCAGTGGAGAGTTTAATTCACGCAGAGCCGGCTGTACAGGAGACTGGAGTTTTATTACTACTCAAACCAGACTCCCTGAAAACTTGGGGATCTGGGTTTTTGAGGATAATTTGGAGGGTTGGGGGGGCTGGAAAATGGGGAACGCTGATTGGTCGGGTGGAAGATAAAAATGTTCCTGGAAAGGGGGTTCCAATCCAGACACCAAGAGAGAGTTCTTGGCTCTCACACAAGAAACAATTCAGGGCGAGTCCATAAAGTTGGCAACTCCATAGGCAGGGCAGTGGCATGAGCTGCTCGAGAGAGTTTACTTAGTTATTTCTTGATTATACGCCAAACAAGGGGTGGATTATACATGAGGTTTCCAGGAAAGGGGCAGGCAATTTCCAGAACTGAAGGTGACTCCCTCTTTGAGACCATATGGGGTAACTTCTGGATGTTGCCATGGCATTTGTAAACCGTAATGGTGCTGGTAGGAGTGTCTTTTAGCATGCTGAACATTATAATTAGAGTGTAATAAGCAGTGAGGACGACCACAGCTCATGAGACTCATTATAAGACGTCGTCATCTTGGTTTTGGTGGGTTTTGGCTGGCTTCTTTACCACATCCTGTTTTATCAGCAAGGTCTTTATGACCTGTATCTTGTACTGACCTCCAACCTCATCCTGTGACTAAGAATGCCTAACCTCCTGGGGATGCAGCCTAGTAGGTCTCAGCCTTATTTTACCCAGCCCCTATTCAAGATGGAGTTGCTGTGGTTCACACACCTCTGACAAAATCACAGAAAGTCGAAGCTGTCCTCTTTTGCTGAGTCAGTTCCTGGGAAGGGGCCACAAGACCAGATGAGCCAGTTTATCAATCTGGGTGGTGCCAGCCCATCATCGATCATCATGTGCCGAGTCTACAAATTATCTCAAGCACTGATCTCAGGCCTTACCATAGGGAGGTTATCCCCAGGAGCAATTTGGGAAGGCTCAGAATCTTGCAGGCTCCAGCTGCATGATTCCTAAACCCTAATTTCTAATCTTGTAGCTAATTTGTTAGTCCTGCAAAGGCAGTGTTGTTCCCAGGCAGGCAGGGAGTTTGTTTTGGGAAAGGGCTGTTATTGTCTTTGTTTCAAAGCAAAACAAGAAACCAAGCTCCTCCCAAAGTTAGTTCATGCCCAGGAATGAACAAGGACAGCTTGGGGGTTGGAAGCAAGATGGAGTCAGTTAGGTCAGATCTCTTTCACTGTCATAGCTGTCTGTTATAATTTTGCAAAGGCGGTTTCACAGGGACATTGCTTTGGTAAGATCTACCATTTCTCTGAAGGTTGAGTTTGGGATGCAGTAGCCTTTGAGTACCGCTGTCCTGTTGCTGTGTGTGTGTTCAGGGCAATCCAGGAAATCTGGAGAAACCAGAGCGTGTGGGCCCCGCCCCCATTTCTCTGGTGGGTCAGGCAGGAGGGTGACTGAGGAAATGTGTCCTGGGATACTTCCCGCCTCCCAGGGTGCGTGGGACTCAGCCCTTCCCCAGCCTGCAGAGGATGGGGGTGCTTTGCCAGCGGTCAAGGCATGTGCCCCAGGGGGCCAGGAAGCCTTTATCAACTCCTTACTACCCCAGCTGGAAGCAGCAAACGCTCCACCCTGTCCTGCTGCCTGAGCACAGAAGTTTTTTTTTTGTTGTTGTTATTGTTATTTTTGAGCCAGAGTCTCATTCTGTCGCCCAGGCTGGAGTGCAGTGGCACAATCTCAGCTCACTGCAACGTCTGCCTCCCGGGCTCAAGCGATTCTCCTGCCTCAGCCTCCCGAGTAGCTGGGACTACAGGCGCCCGCCACCATGTCCAGCTGATTTTTGTATTTTTAATACATACGGGGTTTCACCATGTTGGCCAGGATGGTCTCGAACCTCTGACCTCGCGATCCGCCCACCTCGGCCTCCCAAAGTGCTGGAATTACAGGCGTGAGCCACTGCGCCCGGCTTGACCACAGACTTCTAATCAGATTTTTTCTTTTTTCTAAATTTCTGTGAGACCAGCCGCCTGAGGGATTAAGAATATCGAGGGATGTAAGGGAGAGTGAAAGAAGGGGCACTCTTCCCTAGGGAAAGGGAGGCAAGGAGGGAGGGGTCGCGGAGGGAAGGAGGGGGCGTGGAGGGAGGGAAGCAGGAAAAAGGGGGAGGGAAAGAGGGAGGAGGGGGCGCGGAGGAAGGGGCGGGCCTCCCCCGCCGGCCTCCCTTCCTTCCCTGCGGCCCCCGCCTCTCGCACTAGCGCCCCACACCTGTGGCGCCCTCGCTCTGCCCAGTCCCGCGGCCTCCTCGCCACCGCTCCCCCGGGCTCCTCTCTCCCCCTCTGCCCGCCCCTTCCGTGGGGCCCGCCCCTCCGCCAGCCTCCGCCCCGCTGGCTTCCCCTTCCCGCAGCCCCGGACTGGGAACCTCCCCGGCCGCTCCGGGGCCTGGGCGCGGCTACCCTTCGTTTCTCCGACCTTGTGCTGCAGCGCCGGGCCCCTCGGCCGCGCCCTTCCCTCCTCCCCTGCTCACCCCACGGTTGGCCTCGGGGTCTCCAGCGCGCCGCCCCCGTCCCCGCCCTCGGCGTCCCGCAGCCCCTGCCTCCTGGCCGCCCTGCAGTGCCGTCCTCCTGGGGGGGTCCCTCCGCAGGCCCCTGCTCTGGGCACCCAGGCACTTTCCGCCCTGAGCGTGGCAGCTGCTGCCGGGGGTCCTGGGAGCGCGGGATGGGAGCTCCCACGCAGCGTCCCACAGGCTCCTGGGCGCTGCGAGCCCGCGCGACTGGCACGGAGCAGGTCCACCCGCAGCGAGGGGCCGCTCACTGCCGCGGAGCCCGCCAGAGGGCAAAGCCCCAGACAGACAGCAAATAGGGAGGCGGCTGGCACCTGGGGAGGCCGAGGCGGGAGGATCGCTGGAGCCCAGGAGTTCGAGACCCGCCTTGGCAACATAGTAAGACCCCACTCCAACCGCCCACCATCTCTACACTAAATTTAAAAATTAGCCGGGCGTGGTACCAGCACTTCGGGGAGGCTGAGGTGGGAGGATCACCTGAGCCGGGGACGGTCGAGGCTGCAGTGAGACGAGATCGCGCCACCGCACGCCAGCCTGGGCGACACAGCCCAGACCCCGTCACAGAGCAAAATTGAAGGAGGCGGCGGTTTCCTTCCGGAACCACTGCAGATCAAGTGCAGGGAGCTGTGGAACTCCTGGGCACCCAGCCCTCGGCGCCCTGCACCGCCAGCCCTAGAGCTGGGGTGTTCCGGCCCGGAGGGATAGGGGTTTGCAGGGTGGTGAGCGCGGAGGCTGCCCGCGGGGCGAGGGAGCTGCCGGGGAGGAGGCAGGGAGGCCGGCGTGGAGGGCCTGGGAGGCTGCAGCGCGGCGGGGCCCCGGCTTTGTCCGGAGCAGTTTCCAGGAAAGAGCTGAGAGGAGGAGGAGAACCAGGCCGGGATTTTCCCGCCTGGGGTCAAACCAAAGCAAACAAACCAAAGTGATGCGCCTCAGAGGTGCCTTGCTTCTGCCCCTGCCGCGGCTGAGATTTGAAGGAACGGCTCTGTGCCGAGTCCCAGCGGGGGTTTTGTAAATGCTGCGGAATTGGTCCCTCACGGTTCACAGCGCAATCACCACACTTGCTTGGCCTCCTGGAAAGCCTTACTCTCTTTTTATAATTAGAAACATTTTTTTTTTTGGCCGGGTTCGGTGGCTCACGCCTGTAATCCCAGCACTTTGGGAGGCAGAGGCGGGCGGATCACCTGAGGTGGGGAGTTGGAGACCAGCCTGACCAACCTGGAGACCCCTTCTCTACTAAAAATACAAAATTAGCCGGGCGTGGTGGTGCAGCCTGTAGTCCCAGCTACTCAGGAGGCTGAGGCAGGAGAATTGCTTGAACCCAGGAGGCAGAGGTTGCAAGTAAGCCGAGATCGTGCCATTGCACTCCAGCCTGGGCAACAAAAGCGAAATAACGTCTCAAAATCTTTTTTTTTTTTTTTTTGTAGCAAGGGGGTCTCACCATGTGGGCCAAGCTAGTCTCAAACTCCTGGGCTCCAGTGTTCCTCCAATCTTGGCCTCCCAAAGTTTTGGGATTACAGACATGAGTCACCGAGCCCAGCCAGCCTTACTGTTCAGAATGATGTCACATCTTTGTGGACTGTTGAAAATGAGGTTGTTTTCCTCAGTCTCCTAGAAGCCCCGAAATAGCCATACAGATGTCCAAGCAGTTCTGGTTTGATTATCAAGGAGCATGTATAAAATAGCTACGTGTGAATGGGGTCTCTGCAAATGGAAACTGGCGGGGGAGGCTCGGGACTCAGAGGTCTGCGGGAGAAAGTGCGTAATGAACACATGCCCATGGCCTCTCCCCGTGTGCCAGGGCATCCTCCCACATAGGCCAAAAGTGCTCTGCAGAACAAAGTACTTTTGGTCCACAGAATGCCTCCCAGCTCTTGCCTGCAAAGGGAAGAAAGGATAGCTGAGGATCATTAAGCAGAATGCCAGAAGATTTATGGAAACCCCCTCTGATAGCTCAACCTAATTGCAGCTCCCTCCAGCGTGCGAAATGCGGCTAATGGACAGCTGCTCCAGCGGCTCTGATGTTGCTAGACCTCCTCAGCACTCAGCCCAGGGCAGCCAGGAAGAATGAATAGTGATTCAGAGGGATAGGAGGAAGCTGTGTGGCATTTCACAGATACTTATTGTAAAACTGCTGGTGGCCATGTCTTCTTTTCCTATCAGAGCTAATGAGTTTTGATATGTGAACATTTCTTCTCCTTCATAGGTAATGTGTTGATTTGGCACTTTAATCTTAGAATAATCATTTCTAAAACCAACCCAACTGCTTTTCTCTACCATTTTGGCCTTAGCAAACAGATGAGTCTGTAGACTTGAGCATTGCTTGAGCACCGTCTGTGTGCAGGTCAGGCAGGGGATGCTGGTGGCTGGGAAACACAGAGGATGGAGGGGTCTTAGGTGCACATAAGGGGTGGGGTCAAGTCCACAGGGGGTCGCCACTGGCAGCAGTCCGGGAGGGCTTCATGGAGGAAGGGGGAGTTGAGTGATAAAGCGCTCCCCAGGTAAGGGGGAAGAGCATCCAGGGAGAGGAGACTGCTTCTGGGAAAACCGGAGGCATCACCTCGCAGGGGCTGGTGTGGTGGTGGCTCAGGTGGGAGGAAGAGAGACCCCAGGGAAACTAACAGGTTCCATTGACAGGAGGCCTGTCCGGTGGGGAGGCGGGCTGGGGGTGGAGCCATGGCTGCAGGCCAGAGGGCTGCCTGACCAGCAGGTGTGTTGACCGGGGTCCTTGTAGCAAAAACAGGGAGCTGAGGACCTCATGGCAGATGAACAGTTCCCTGGAGAAATGAGTGGCAGTAGCTGCAGGGGCTGCTTCCTGGTGAGGGCTGCTTGGCCAGAGCACGGCCTTACATGGGAGGGTGCTGCCACCCGGTGACCCTGCAGGGACCCTGTGTGGAGGGAGCCGGGGGTGGCATGGGGATAGTTGCCTTGCTCTCCTGCTCTTGGCCTCCTGCAGCTCCCGCCACTCCCCGCCCTGCCACACGAGGTCAAACCCACCAGGAGTCAGAAGGTGAAGGGCGAGGTCCCAGGGTGAGGCGCAGGGAGGAGACGGTGGCAGCAGGGAAGGTGCTGCCTGCTGCAGAGTGAGACCTGGGACTGCCAAACACAGTGACAGGAGCATCTGGGAGCTGAGGAGGCCTGTGGGGGGAGGAAGACAGTGGCTGGCAGCGACAGGAAGGGAGGGCCAGCATGGGGCGGCAGTCCAGAGCTCGAGCTCCCTGCCAGGCCAGCCTTTGTGACCTGGGGGTGGAGGTGGCAATTGCTGTCATATCATAAACACGTCAAGCTTACAGTGAAATCTCTAGTGTGGCTTGGGAACAAATGCATGTGCAGGTGTTTGAGTATCTGCCCTTACCTAAGCTCAGGGAGCAGGAAAACGAAAGCTTACCATGTAAACACATCAGCAGTAGGGCTTATGTGTGTCTCCACATTGGAACCCCCAAGACAGAGACTGGAGGCGGAGTTGATTTCCAAGCCCAGAGTGCTGGGCAGCCTTTGGGTTTTATGTCTGCTTACTTGGAGCTCAGTGATAGAAATCCAGGCCCCAAAAGAGGAAAGGACTCTCCTGCATAACCGGCACACCCAAGGAGTGCTTCAGGTGCAGCTGGATCCAGGCATCCTCAAATAGTGTGATTAGGACTCCACTTTCCTTTCTCACCTTGGCTTGGCTCTGCCCTGCTCTGTGTGTTGTTTTCAGACAAGGTGGGGCCCCAGCAGCTCTGGTCCCCTTGACATGATCCCAGAGAAGAGCCAGCCCTTCCCTCCTGGGTTCTACACCGTCCCCTAAGGGACCTCAGACTGACCTGATGGGAGGTCTCAAGCAGGCCATGTGAAGGGCATTGCACAGGAAACACAGAAATGGGAATTCTGTAAGGTCAGGAGAGCTCTGGCCACTTTGTTCTTGGGCCTGTTTTTATGATCCTCCCTCTACATGTAGCTCACACTTCCCTGCTCCTGTGCAGGCACCTGGTGAGGGGGTTGTCATGGCCTCCTGCCACTCATGAGGCTGTCAGATACTACCTGTGCTGTCCCTGCATTCTCAAGCTCCAAATTGTCAACTAAGAAATGGTCATTTAAAAAGAGAAAAATGAGGCCGGGCACGCTGGCTCATTCCTGTAATCCCAGCACTTTGGGAGGCTGAGGCGGGCGGATCACCAGAGGTCAGGAGTTGGAGACCAGTCTGGCCAACATGGTGAAACCTTGTCTCTACTAAAAATAGAAAAATTAGCTGGCAGTGGTGGCAGGCACCTGTAATCCCAGCTTACTTGGGAGGCTGAGGCAGGAGGTTCTCTTGAGCCCAGGAGGCGGAGGTTATAGTGAGCCAAGATCATAGTACTGCACTCCAACCAAGGTGACAGGGGGAGACTCCATCTCAAAACAAACAAAAAAAATTGATTTCTGAAATGGACAAAGGTTTTTTCCATGGGTGGTGCCATCAGTGATCGTGCCTGTTCCACTGCGAGGTCGGTCATGTGCTCTGTGACATTTCGCTGTCAACTCAAGGCTTTTTTCTTTCATTTATGGCCATAGTCCAAATGGTTTCACAGATAAAGAAATCTACAAGCCCAATCGTGGTGCGAGAAAAAAACTTTAACACTCTGTCGTTCAGAAGGAAATCAGGAAGAGGAATTTCTCCTTTGAGACTAAAAGAAAGTCAGCTTTAACCAGTGCATGGGGGGCTGGCTCGATGTGGTAAACAAACCAAAGCATTGTTTTTAAATCAACAGAAATACATTTTTTCCCTTCACCATTGACTTCTTTTTTTTTTTTGGGGTGGGGGTGGGTGCACAGGATTTACTGTTTTGTTTTTTTTAACCCAAAGAGAAGGAAAATGCTTTCCTTACTCCTGAAAATGGTGCGTTTGTACATTGCCCCTTTATGTGGAGCAGTGTCATTTAGGCAACTACAGAGAGATGAGTGAGGATGAATCTCGTCCGTCAGAGGCTGGGCTCTCAGGCACCAGGACCAGGGGCTTTTCTTTTAATAAGCGAAACCTCTTCTCTGTGGGACCCAAGGCTTTGGATTCCTCAAAGCCTGGAAGCTAGAGCTGAATGACAGGCTTGCTTCGGAGTGAATTTCTTGAGGCAACTTCAAAGTGACAGGTTTCGTTGAAGAAAAAGCTCTTCTTGGGGTAGTTGGGAAGATGGTTGGACCCTGTGTGGGGACCAGAAGGAGGGGAGAGGGGAAAGAGAGGAGAGAACAAGCTCTCTGCTGTCACTCTAAGAGCACCAATCCCATCATGGGCCGGACCCTCATCGCTTGGTGAAGCCTGATCACTTCCCAAAGGCCCCGCCTCCTGGTACTGTCACTCAGGACCCCAGCCCTTTTTTGGCACCAGGAATTGGCTTTGTGGAAGACAATTTTTCCATGGACTGGGTTGGGGGGATGGTTTGGGGATGATTCAAGCGCATTACATTTATTGTACACTTTATTATTATTACCCTGTAATGTATAATGAAATGATTATACAACTCACCATAATGTAGACTCAGTGGGAGCCCTGAGCTTGCTTTCCTGCAACCAGACGGTCCCATCTGGTGGTGGTGGAAGACGATGACACCCGAAGTGTGTTGCTAATGTCCAGTCTGCTCTGTGATCTCGTTTTGGTCGCTGTCACTGCAGAGAACCCTGCTTCACAAAGACAGGATGTTGGAAATGGAAGCGGGCTTCTCAGTGCTTTGAGGACACTCTCCGGAGATTCTGCCCTGACTGCAGTCCAGAATGTATGGAGATTTGAAGTTGTCGCAAACATACTTTGAAGGCCACCAGATGCAGCTGTACAATTGAAGTCCATCAGCTCACTTGCCTCGATAAAGCCTGCCACTGCATACAGCTTCGTTGTCACCTGCCACTCACTGATAGGATTTTGATAGGACTGTGCAAGCAATTGATTTATGATGGTCTTTGTGCTGTCAAAACTCTCTGCTAATGTTCATCTGTATTTGCAGCCACTCCCAAGCGCTAGCATTGCCGCCTCAGCTCCACCTCAGATCTTCAGGCATTAGTTAGATTCTGATAAGGAGCGTGCAACCCAGATTCCTCGCATGCGCAGTTTACAGTAGGGTTCGCGCTGCTTTGAGAATCAAATGCCACTGCTGATCTGACAGGAGGCGGAGCTCAGGCAGTCATGCTCACCCGCCCACCTGCTGCTCGCCTCCTGCTGTGCGGCCCAGTTACTAACAGGCAGGTGCTGGTCCGTGGCCCAGAGACTGGGGGACCTCCTGTCACCCAACCAAACTGGGTCCACTTGCCCTCAAGCAACAGAAGCCAAACACCAAAGCACCGAGTTTTTGCTACCAGAAGGCTTTATTGCCAGTTGATTGACATGGAGACTGGAGGAAGTGTTCCTATCTGTCTTCCTGCTGGCCTCGCACCATAGATGTGAGGGAGAGATTTTGAGGGTGGGGTTTCGGGGCTGGACAATGATTGGCTGGGAGGAGGGGGCTTTATGGAGTCCCTCGGGCACTCACTGTTGCCTACATGCGGCTTCGTGGGTTGCATGTTTTAAAAAAAGTTGGCATTAGCATGAACTGGAAGTGGGGTTTTTGACCCTCTGACATCAAAAGGTGGCTGGTGGGTGAGTCAGTGCACTCTGCAGACTCGTCAGCCGTGTTGTCTCCAACCGGTCCCTCCTGGCAGCCCACTTAGTTGCAAATAGAGGGGATTGTAGCAAATTGTCTTCTTCCCCACTGTCCTGCAAAATGAGCTCAAGAAATTTTGCTGGTTAACAAATCCTGTCTAATCCTGGGGCAGGTTTCAGTACCATCACGTTAGGGATTGGGGCCTCAGCACTCAGTGTGGGGGGTACACTTCAGCCCATGGCAAGCTGGGTACTTGTGCTCCCTTCCTCGAGATGAGAATGTGAACGCACAGAGGCAAAGCAGCCCATACAGTGAGAGAGGGTGCCGTGGAGTCAGAAGGCACGGCAGGGACCCAGTCCCTAGGACCCTGTCTCTGAGCCCCAGGCCCTGTGCTGAGCAGCAGGAGTCACTGCGTGCCTCTGCTTTGTGCTTTGTGACCATGCGTCACGGCCAGGCTGGGGTTTTCCACCCTCTGTCCGTTATCCCCATCTTAGCGCGAGGTCACAGGCCTGCAGGACCTATTCCTGGCCCCCATAGGATGAAGGAGGAAACCCGTGGGAACTAGTGCATGGCCCTGAAAGCAGCCTCTCCTTGCCTCATTGTCCATCAGCACAAGACACTCCCACCAGCACCATGACAGTTTACAAACGCCTTGGCGAAGACCTAGAAGTTGCTGC